AAGAACATTTTCACGTCGTTAATAAATACTTATATAGATTATACCACAGTTTATGGGTGCACCTCCAGAAATTGAAGTAGCCAGCACCTGGCAGTTGATCTCAAATATCGCCTAAAAATCCTAATGGAAGAAAAACTGGCTTGTAATTGTCAAAACCTGCAAAACCAAAATAATAACTTTTCATCATTACCGAGTTGAGCCTAAATTCTCACCAATCAATATGAACGGCTGCATTCTCAAAAAAGGATCCATGCTCTAAATAGCTATTGAAGCACAAGTTCACCCCAAATTCCAAGAACTCATATTCGAGTGATCCATCGCTAAAGACGTCGGAAAAATACATGACACCTGGTTGGCTCATTGTACCTGGCTCTTCCTGCCATGCTCTATCTTGAGAAGATTTAGATTAGACCAAAAATAGACTCTTGCTTCTATATATGGGCTGAGCTTGCCTAAACCTTTCCTCCCGGCTCTGACAGTGTGCAAAAGCGTTTATACAGCTTTGTGAATGATGAATTATTTTCCACCATACAATCCTTTACCTATAGACGCAACATTGCATGTCTATCGCTATTTCCATGGAAAATGTTCTCACAGTTCCTAGTTTTTCCGTGGAACACAGTTCAGAGAGAATGCTTCCCTAACAACAACAATCTTAACCACTTCAAGGCTAGGATCAACCGTTATCTATCCTACATATCCACTTCATGAATTCAAGCGCCCTACGAGGCTGGTATCCCGCTTCCACCCTTACACTGTAGAAACTTTTAAATGTGGCCGTCTCTTCTACTCCAATAGCTTCATACCTCGCACCACTCGCCTGTGGAACACCCTTCCCAATTACTGTTTCCCTGAGAGCTATAATCTCCAACTATTCAAATGTAATGTCAATCGACACCTCCAGTTACCTTGATCTACCCACTATCCTTCTCCTCATCCTTTCTTCTATGACTCCTATCTGCTCTCGCTCCAAATCTTCTGCAACCCCCTGCATCCTAGTGGCTTCACGCCTTGCTCGGGGCGTAATGATTAAAAAAAAAAAATTCGATCACCCATAAAACCGCATTCAGTAACCCTCTATCTTCTGACTCATGGGCGTTGTAATGAGTGAACAATAGAGTAATAAATATATACCAATAGTGTTGTATAGCCCCCTGGTTGTGGAAGGTCTTGGTCATTGGCGTCAAATTGAGCCTATGTTGCATGCGTCAAATTGAGCCTATGTTGCATGCGATTCTGTAACTATCCAGTGGGATCCCTCACTACTTCACTGGGGAGCCGTTTCAAACACGAAAGAAAACACATCTACATTGCTCGACAGTTCAGAAACAATTCACTGAAAATCCTTTCTCTATAACTATCATTCCCACGCTCATTCAGCCAATCAGAATCGACTTCCTTGTTTTGTCTTGTATCTGATCCCTAATGTCAGCCTCGGGAAGTCAGCGCAATGATACACTTCCCCCTAAAAATAATAATCTGTTAAACTATTATTTAACAATAGTTTGTTCAGTCAAATACTAGTTGTTTGCACAATTTCAAAGGGATCATTATTTTGACCTGATTTCCTTATTTTTATATTCTGTCTATGTTTTAGATATATTTTATATTTTATATTTTTCTATGTTTTAGATATATTTTATATATATATTTTATATACATTTTATATTTTTATTTTATATATATTTTAAACATTCATTTGTTATTATCATTACTATTATTATTATTATCATTATTATTATTGAGTGAAAGTGTAGTACGCGAAAGACGAGGTGCAAATCTACGAATAATATACTCATCATTTCACTCAGTCTGATAAAGGTATACCGGGCACATGCGTCACAAGCACACGTGTGCGTTATGGTGAGAGGTTTTGAAAAAAGGCAGCGTATAACCTTGCAGGTGATGCTCGTTTAGATATACCTTCGGATCAACTAACCCAAACCATTCAGACGGTCTCGGATTGAAGCTGTTCCCAAGTATTTAGATGTAACTCCCAAGTCGTCTTGGCTTACCTTCCGACTTACAAAAATGACAACCTTTTAGACACCTCGCCATGATGCCCGTCACTACTCTCATTCATAGACAAAGTGCAGCAGCTCCTAAAGGTATATACGTAATTTAATGCTACACTTTTTCATCTGCGTTGTTCTTCCTTTTCAAATGGGGATCTTGCATTATGGACGTTCTCGTACAATCTTCAAGATCTTAACTAAACAAATGAGATCATATATTATGAAATGGACAAACTCCGACAATTATTTAATTATATTTTCTGTTTATACGCTATTTTTATAGATACAAATATTTAAGTAAATGCAAGGTGGTAATGACAATAAGACGCAAATGGATAGTAGGAGCGAAAGAGAAGATTTTACTGAGGAGAAAGGAGAATAAAAGAACGGTATTCAGAAAGGCAAATAAAAAAATTTGGAAGCTTGTTCTTGGGAAGACGGAAGTTGGCGATTGGCCTTGCATTTAATTTTCTTTTTTTTTTTCTTTTTTTTTCTTTTTTGTTTTTGAAAATTGTAGGTGACAGGGAAGCAAGGAGGCGGAAGAGAGTTCCATATGCGAATAGTGCGAGAAAAGAAGATACTAGAATAAAATATACGGCAGCATCTAGCTGGATCAAGGATAAAACGGTAAGATCTAGTTGTCAATCAAGACCATTTAGCTACAGAGGAAGCGTATGGTTAGCAAGGTCAAATTACTGTTTTTAAACTTCAAATTTCCAAAGATTTCTCTCGAACGCTCATATCTACTCGAAGCGTATCTTAACTAAACAAATGAGATCATATATTATGAAATGGACAAAGTTCGACAATTATTTAAATATATTTTCTGTTTATGCGTTATTTTTTATAGATACAAATATTTAAGTAATTTAAGCTCTGTTTATAATAAACAGTATTAGCTTCATTTACTTACTGAATTTATTAAATTTCTCGGACATTCAAGCCGTTAAATGTTGTTAATACTGTTTATTATAGACAGAGCATTTACTTAACTATTTAACAGATAACACCTTACGCAGTATGTTTACGGATCCAAACAACACGGACTTCTGAAACGATTGGATACCTCACTTTATTCCGATTTTCTTAATGTAGGTCTTTAACTTCGGTTGTATAAACCCAACGCCCCAATGATAGTGGTTTGAACGTCCTATATTCTGTCAAATTCAATATTTCTTTGTCCTTGATATTATGGTCCCCAAGAATGGCCATATCGATGAGGAGGTATTTATTTTTTTTTTTTCACCTGCGATGATGTCTGGTTCGGTGTCCTCAAGGTTGCACTCTTTTTTCTTTTTTTTTATAATCGTTTCACCCCAACGAAGGTGATCATAGCACTACAACCTAAAGAAAGAGAGTGTGAAGACTGAGAATAGGGAGGGTTGAGGACAGGACAAAAATGGAACAGAGCTCAAGAAGACAGAAAATAAGATGGTGATTGACGTTGCATTTAATTTTTTGAAGTTTTTATTTATCAGGGGAGGAAGAAATCGGAAGTTTCACAGTGCGAACAAAACAAACTTAGTGTATAAGTGGTGGTTGCATCTTGCTATCTCAACAGTAAAAGGTTGGGACCTAAATGCCAATCTAGTAGCACGCTTATATTAAAGTAGACGGAACACCAGATAATAAGGTTCATCAGAGCAGATGCCACGAAAATAATTATAGAAAAATATGGAATCCACGTCACATCGGTGAGAAAGTGACCGAAAGTGTCTGGACAGGTTTTATTATATTACAGGTACTACTTTTTACGTTGTTGTTTCGATGTTAAAATCCCATAAGATCTTGACTTGGTCGTTTTCGATCACCGTCTCTGGCTTGTAACGGTACCATTTCTGTTCGATTTCCTATATAGGCCTCAATGCAGATTATTTTTATTTACTAGCAGCCTTACCCAGCTGATCGAACAGAAAAAGCGTTCAATTAGAATGGAGCAAAAATAGCATCATCTTTAGATGTAACAGAGTCTATCTTTTTCAATTACGTTAAAGTACTTTCACTAAAAAAACATTTTGAATTAATGCAGTTACTGATATAACAGAAGTTAGTCTGTATTTATTCGATCGAAGTTAGCCAATGACATGAAGGGGTAAAACAGGCAACACGAAGATCCACTTCAAACCACAATTATTTTGGAGTTTTTGAAATTCAATTAGTCAGTGTGCTACCAGGGATGTAAAAGATGATACATTTATAAAGCAATTGCTAAGTTTAATAAAAGATCAACGAGAAATAAGAGGGAAACCAGTAAAAAATCGCCATTTTTCGCTATTTATGCGCGTTTCACTATATGGGTAGGCTCAGTTATCAAGTTTAATGACTCTTAAACAATCAACATATTGTAGGCTACAATTGAGGGAAGTTTGTATTAGATTGCTTGAAAACTGAGTGAGTTTTTAATTTAAAATTTGTGTTGAAATTGATTTGTCCTGAAATCAGTTTTTCGTTTTTTGTGGTTTTCTCTAAACGCAGTGGCGTGGAAATAAAAATGATGTATCGTTGAGCTCGTCATGATGTAAGTAACCTATATACCGAGTTTGAACGTATTCAGAGGAAAAATGTTGAATTTATCGATTTTTGATCGACTTTATCGATTATTGTTTTTTTTTTAATTGTCGATGTTTTACGCTAAGAACCTATCACTTACATTGTACAATCTATGTGACAAGTTTGATCAAAATCGGTTGGATGTATCTCGAGTGAAAAGGCATTACACAGACAGACAGACAGACAGACACACATAGACACACAGACATCCTCTGTTTTATATAGAGAGATTATTATTATTATTATTATTATTATTACTACACCTTCCATTCACCTTATCTTACAACTGCTTCTACGATTTCCAATATTCAGGTCCTACCTCTTTTTTTCTGATTCGTTGCTCCAACTTCAACAATATATTATTTCATGTCATGCCCGATATAAAGTGTTTGGAATAAATTTCGCCGTTGATACCAAGTCATTAATTCCTGGAGATTAGCAAGAAAATGAGATGATGCCATTTGTTCGGCTGAAAACCGTGTCTATTCGTCCCCATGCAGAAATGTCCGAAAGAACAAAGAGAGTAAAAGGAAAGAGAAAGAAAAAGGACGTGTGAGAGTGAGAAAGAGAAAGAAAAAGGAAGTGTGAGAGTGAGAAAGAGAAAGAAAAAGGAAGTGTGAGAGTGAGAAAGAGAAAGAAAAAGGAAGTGTGAGAGTGAGAAAGAGAAAGAAAAAGGACGTGTGAGAGTGAGAAAGAGAAAGAAAAAGGAAGTGTGAGAGTGAGAAAGAAAAGGAAGTGAGAGTGAGAAAGAGAAAGAAAAAGGAAGTGTGAGAGTGAGAAAGAGAAAGAAAAAGAGTCTCTCTGCTTGTTTGTGTGTATGTCAGTGATCGCTAACTTTTCTAGAAAAGAAAAAGAGAAAGAAAGGGAAACAACTGTCAGTGAAATAAATGAGGATGAATGTAGAATGGGTTAATTTGGTTGGTGGGGTGGTGGCTTGGAAGGCGAGAGGTGCAAAATAGTAAGGCTGTACAGTCATCTCCATTAAAGCTTCCCAGCCATTAAAACTGACTGAAATCTCATCACAGTTCCCGACCAGGCCTGCGGATCCTAACTCGACAAATATACTTACTTCAGCGAAAAGTTGATTGCCTGTTGTTTTCCCTTTCAGATTCGATTTTGTGATAGATAGTGTCATATAGGAAGAAAATGAGTAACTACCGACATCGAGGTTCGAACGTGACACTCTGGACTTATTAATATATGTTTTCCGCCAAGTATATAAATAGCCGTGTCAGACTACTGACTCTAGTGATTATTGAGTGGAACTATCCAGTCGAATTAGTGTGAATTATTTTGCGTCAATGATTTGGGATTTTGATTTTAGGATTTAATCCGAGCCGCGCTATTCACAAGGTATTCACTAAAATGGTTAATTATCTTTGGTTGACTTTCATTTCTTTGTTCTTGTTAAGTATTTATTTACTGTTGTAATTAAATACTGTTTTATTTTAACATTGATTTCTTGAGTTATACTTAATCATTAACGGCCACTGTACGTCACAATAGATAGATAGATAGATAGATAGATAATGCTTATTGTCATGGAAGGAGGTGTGAGTGGTGTAATGGATAGCGGCTTAGAATGAGAAATCGGAGACCCGAGTTTGAATTCCAATATGGTTCGTTACATTCACTTACCTGCAAATAAACTTGGGAAAGTTATAAACCCATCTCCCCCCTCAGATATAGGTTAAATAGTAGGACTTGTATCTGAGGAAATATTGTTATTCTAAAAGAAAAATTGTTAAAACAATATTTACTCGCAAGAAAAAAACAGAATCATTCTAACAGTACAAAATATATTTCGGTTTTAAATAACCCCAAAGGGTTTATACACCGTAAAAATCAATCAGTTATTTTCATGAAAAACGTAAACGGTAAACTGAGTTATAATCTCAACAGTTACTTGTTTTTACTTACCTCAAGGTGAAATATGATTTTTATCGTCACATTTTATTATATAAGTCAATCTTCTCACAATAAAATTTGATCACTCGCATTATTTACATTACTCCGACTGTTATCCTCATCTTTATTGCCATATTTACAACGTTTCGGCCGTTGTACGCTCCGGTCTTATTCAGGGAATTAGAATTTCGAACCAAACTCTTTATTTCGTCCACTGGGGTAGTTCCACGTGCCATGCCTCTTCTGGATGTCTCAGTTATTTCCCTTTAACTCAATTTTCCAAGTTTTTTGTTCACCACTGCTGTGGCCTTGTATCGAACTCACAACTCTGGCTCTAGTCACTAGATCTAACCAACGTCTTGGAGATAAGAGTTAAAAGAAACTAACTGAGACATCCGGAAGATAGCACGTGTAACTAGAATAATCTACCCCGATGGACCAAATAAAGGGTTCAGTTCGAAATTCCAGTCAGCTGAAGAAGGCTGGAGCGCACAACGGCCGAAACATTGTGAATATGGCAATGAAGATGAGGATAACAATCCGAGTAATGTAAATAATGTAAGTAATCATAATACCTCATCTCAGAGATATAGACAAACATTTGATCAGGCTAAAATGATTACTTTAAATAGTTATCAAAATTTGCTAGGTTATTTAATGTCAAATATCAGTCTTATCGGACAAAGATCTCTATGAATTAATAGATATAAAAAAATAGGTCCATTCTGCACCTGAGTCAAATGGTAGACATCTCCTATTTATATCTGATTTTACAAGTATGTGAACGCTAGCATAGCACATAGTATTCAGCCATTGATAATATAATGGAGTTCACAATGGTGAATTATTTCTACTGCAGTCTAACTACGACTGTGTCTATATATTATTATCATTATTATTACTTTCAAACCAATAAGACAACGGAGCTGAGACATCAACATCAACCGCAGTAGTAATAGTGAAATTACCAGCAGCAGTTGCCTACTGACAGTGAATACACAAAGACAACAGAGCCCATTTTCTGCTCGTGTGTTGGCAGTTTTCCCCTTCTGCTTATGTTAGCGCGACATAAAATAAAACCACAAGCAAAAACATGACAATGGTCTTTATATTATGACACAATCAAAAGTTATTTAATTATCCTGGTTGAGTGTGGCACAAGGCTGCAGTGATGATTAACTCTATACTAGCAAATTAACCTACTATACAAGCTTGCTAGTGTTCGTATCATTTTCACGTGTTCTACGAGATTTAGGCTGCATCGAGATTTAGTAACAGCATTTAACGAACGGATTGGCGTCGAAGAAAATTACAATTAAATGTTACTTGCTGCCTATTTGAATAGTTCTTTGCCTTGAAAGTATTTCATTTTTTTTCGGCAATAAATATAGCTGCTGTTAAGAAAACAGGAGAGTTATCCCCACTTAGCTTTGTCAGTTTCGTTAAAATGTTGTGAGGTGGCGCTTTTTCTTCTAGCATGCGGTAGAAGCAGCAACAGCTCTCGACTGAGTGACTGAACTCTTACCCACACACGGGCACAAACACACAATCCCATGCACACACACGCACACAAACTCACACTCTCACTCACACACGCATATAAACACACACAGGTGGGTGACTGACAGATGCAGACATGCACGATCCTTTATTACTAAATTTGCATGTCTTTTCTTTTCAGCTATATTGGCATTCATAGCGTGGGCTGGAATTGTAGGTGACTGTCTGGCAGGTACATATGTTCTCCCAGAATATCTTATGGGAGAAAAGTAAGGGACATTATTTTGACCACACTTCCAGACCTGCTAGAGGATGTACCCCTGCTAATACAAAGACGCATGTGGTTCATGAATGATGGGGATCTAGCACATTTTAGTCACATTGTTCGCGATGCACTGGCTGACATTTACCGTGAAAGATGGATAGGTAAAAGAGGACCGAATCCATGGCCTGCACGTTCCATCGACCTCGATCCTTTAGATTTTTATCTGTGGGGCTACCTAAAACAATTGGTTTAGTTAATAAACATTGATAATGCAGAGACGCTTCATCACTTGTTAATCAGTCAATTTTTCTTAATCCTTCCGTCCCATGCAAGGTGGTAATGACAATAAGACGCAAATGGATAGTGGGAGCGAAAGAGAAGACTTTACTGAGGAGAAAGGAGAATAAAAGAACGGTATTCAGAAAGGCAGATAAAAAAAATTGGTAGCTTGTTCTTGGGAAGACGGAAGTTGGCGACTTTTTTTTTTTTTTTTTTTTTTTTGTTTTTGAAAATTGTAGGTGACAAGGAAGCAAGGAGGCGGAAGGGAGTTCCATACGCGAATAGTGCGAGAAAAGAAGCTATTAGAATAAAATATACGGCAGCATCTAGCTGGATCAAAAATAAAACGGTGAGACCTATTTGCCAATCTAGACCATTTAGCTACATAAGAAGCGTATGGTTAGCAAGGTCAAATTACTGTTTTCAAACTTCAAATTTCCAAAGATTTCTCTCGAACGCTCATATCTGCTCGAAGCGTAACTTAACTAAACAAATGAGATCATATATTATGAAATGGACAAAGTTCGACAATTATTTAAATATATTTTCTGTTTATACGTTATTTTTATAGATACAAATATTTAAGTAAATGCTCTGTTTCTGCTTAACAGTATTAATAATATTTACTTACTGAATTTATAAAATTTCTCGGACATTCAAGCCGTTAAATGTTGTTAATACTGTTTATTATAAACAGAGCATTTACTTAAATATTTGTGTCTATATAAATAACGTATAAAAAGAAAATATATTAAAATAATTGTCGAACTTAGCCCATTTCATAATATAGATATAAGGGCAAAGAGTTTGGGGCCTCCCTCTGGATTTAATAATTAGGACGTGTCATACTACCAGTTTAATTAAATTCTATTAAACTAGGATGCTGAAATTATTTAATCAATTAGTAAATGCCGTCAGATTTTTAAAGTGTGGGTTACCGAACATTAGAATCCGCCAGTCCTAAGAATACCATCAGCCAACAAAGTAGGCAAAAAAATTTAAAATAAACTTTATACAGTAATGGCTTAATTTTATTATTATTATTATTATTATTATTATTATTATTATTATTATTGAATATATGATACAATCTTTCAGGAAGAGAATGTCCCTTTAGCCCGAAGTGACATAGTAAATTAGTTTTGAAAAAGGAATGCAACATTCAAATTTTAGGCAATTCTTAAAAACTACAGTATATATATATATATATATATATATATATATATATATATAATATAGTAACAGTACCTTTTCGATCCGGGTTCGTTCTTATGATCTCATCAGGTGACTTTTACTAGACGGTTTTTAGTGCATACCTAATATCTTATTTATACCGGAAGTGGGCTGGGGAGGAAGAGAAAAAAGAAATCGTATAATTTCTCTTTATCCGGGTTCATATAGACCTATAAGATGTATTCTTATGTATCTACATTTTGCAATAATCTCCGTCCTTGAATTCAACAATTCAGAACGGTCATGGTATGTAGCTATCTTTAGATTTTCTTCTTGGCATAATTTGCAACAATTGCCACGCGTTCTACCTGGTTTGACTTTTTTTAGGATCCTCCACTTGATTTGAGGGTACTTCCATACGTTTCCTTCGACTGCCAAAACCAATCAGACAAATTATTTGTGTGTCTATGGCTTTGTAGCCTAAATGAATGAGTATGATGGTACAGCCTTTTTTTGTTGTTGTTTTTTGTTTCTTAATAGCCCTCTATATAACCAGTGTATATCTTTGTCACATTACTTACATCTTTGACTTCTAGCTGATCATGTTTATTCAAAAATAAATACGTAAAAATTCACATTCCCCTCTGCCGGGATAGCTTAGAGGAAAAATCTTTGACTGATGCCAAATCAGTCGGGTTTCGATCGTGGCTTGAGGCAATCGGATGTCTAGCCACACTGTGATACAGCGAAACAGTCTGGCTGTGGATGACTATATATATATATATATATATATATATATATATATATATATGAAGAAATACACTCTTAAGGTGTGCTATATTTATGGGATAAAGTGCTCAATATCAGAGATAGAGCGTGTGTAAATATAAAAAGTGAACATTGAAGTCAGGACTGTCTCCTCTAAGTGTTGACTTCAATGTTCACATATATATATATATATATATATATATATATATATATATATATATATATATATATATATATCATATTATATATATATGTGTGCGTCCATGTGTCTGTGCATACACAGTTAAAGAGAGAAAGAGGGGGATGATGATGTAACATCTTCTGTGACACAATATAGGTTTCTCAGCTCTTAATGAGAAGTAATAATTTTCGTGAAGATTATAGCTCAATATAAAATGCACATTCAACACTGCTAACACTTAGTGTTTAATCTATGGGAAAAGTGGCGCGGAATGCTAACATAACCTCATTGGTAGTAAGTTAATCTGGTCGACTATTAATAATGTCATGAATTTTATCCTCACTGGTGGCCACTTTATTGCTGACTTGTTTCAGATTAAGCTAAGCTTATTAAACATGAGCCCTTTTCCGTTTGTTTAGTCTTGTTGGCTATTAATAAGATAGTGAGTTCGATTCTCACTCGAAGCACCAATACTGTGGCGCCGTTGAAGGCATATATATATATATATATATATATATATATATATATATTAAATTATATTTGAAGCTACTTCTTAATTAAATTTCCGCTTTAGCCAGTGGAATTTAGAATTATTTTCTTTTAATCTTTTTATCGTTTTTGTTTTATTTTCCTCTTTTCTTTATGTCTTTATTTTCCTGCTTTTTCTTTCTTTTTTTTTTAGTCTTTCATCTCTTTTAGCGCCTTAAATATCATAAGATCTACAACATTACTGTCATGTTTTCAATCTTCCGTTAAGTTTATTTTATTATCTGATTGTTTTCATTCATTTATTCCTTTACATTCATCGTTTTTATTTTTTGCTTGATTTTCTTTTCTTTCTTGCTCGCAGTTATTTACTTCTTCCTTTTTGCCTGTACCAATATCTTTTTTTTTTAATTCTAATATTGTTATTAATTCTCATTTGTTCTTTTACTTTTTTTTGTTTTTTTTTGTCTATTTCTTTGTTCCATTTTCTGATAAATTCAATTTTTTTCCCTCTCTTTATATTTTTTCTTGTTTTTCCTTGTTCTTTTTTCCAATATTTTTCTTTCTCTCTCTTTCTATTTTCTCTGTTAGTTCTTTTTGTGATATTTTTCTCTTTCTTTCTTTCTTTCTTTCTTTCTTTCTATTCTCTTCCAACTTATTTTTTATTACTTCTCATCTTTTTCTTTCTTTCTTTCTTTCTTTCTTTCTATTCTCTTCCAACTTATTTTTTATTACTTCTCATCTCTTTCATATTCTTTCTTTCTTTCTTTCTTTCGTTTACTGATATCTTTTCTTTCTCTTTTGTCATTTCTATCTTGTTCCTTACTCTGATGTTTTCTTTTTCTCTTGCTCTTTTCTTTAGTCGTTCCTTTCTTTCTTTCTTTTTAGGTACTTTCTTTCCTTCCCTTTTCCTCTCTTTATTTCGTCTTTTGTCTTTATTCCTTTTTCTGATATTTTCTCTCTCTTTGTCTTTTTGGGTTTTTTTTTTCTCGCGATCCCTTTCTTTCTCTCTCTATCTATCTGTTTTATCTCTTTTTCACTTTTTCTGAAAGTTGTCTCTCTCTTTTTTGTTTGTTTCTGATTTGTTCACTACCTCCCTCCCTCCCTCCCTCCCCTCTCTCTCTCCCTCTCTCTCTCTCTCTCTCTCTCTCTCTCTCTCTTTTCTCTTCTGGTTTCTCTTTTCTTTTTTAATCTTATATTTCATTATTGTCTTCTCTCTCTCCCCCACCTCTCCCTCTTTTCTCTCTGATTACTTTCCCATCTTTCTCATTCTTATCACTCGCTTTCATAAACGCTACATCATACCTTTCTCTTTTCTCTTTTTCCCTCGTCTTCTTTTTCATCCCCTCTTCTTTCCCTCTCTCTCCTCCCTCACCCCCTCTCTCTCTCTCTCTCTCTCTCTCTCTCTCTATTTTTCTTTTCTTTTCATACCACTCTTTTGTACTTCCCTTGACTTCTACCACAACGTTCTGCAATATAGTGCCTTATCTCATTCTGGCTATGATAAGCTAATTTCATTATTCCTAATCATCCGAGACATAATCCTTTCTAATCCAACTGGATTTATTCACGATGACGAGACTCGATCCCTCGGTCAGTCATAATCTGAGCGCAGATGTAAAATACGGGGGAAAAAAGCGAACGAAAGGTCAGGGTGCAACGGAGACCGTCAGAAAAATGCCGACCGTCATAACAAAATGGCGTTTTGTCCCCATGTTCGTTTACAACAAGCAGCCGATATTATGATCAAATTCGGGTTGAACATTGTCAGCAGAGGCTATTTATGGGGCTGTTTTAGCGCACACTGACAGAAGTTTGATTTTTGTAAGCCCTTGTGAATTGTTTCAGTTGCTTTGATTAGTACGAATGTTGGTTGTTTTTAAGAAAGAGATGCTTGGGTAGGAATGGATGGATACGAAATTTTTCTTGATGCAAGTTGGAGAAAATGATGCTAGTTAATTATTATTAGTAGTAGTAGCAGTAGTAGTAGTAGTCGAATATTTTGGGATTAAAATGGCTGTTGATATTGCTGTAAGAAAATAGGTAATGGAGTCAAAGAAAGAAATCGAATACAAAAAGAAAAAAGGAGAAAAGAAAGAAAGAAAGAAAGAAAGGAGAAATCGTGTAAAAGAAAGAAATCAAATACCAAAAGAAAGAAAGAAAGAAAGAAAAAAGGAGAAATCGAGTAAAAGAAAGAATTAGAAGCAAGAAAAATAGACACGAATGAAAAAGAAATTGCACATGGTAAAATACTTTCTTAGAAAAAATTTAAAAGTTTGAAGAAAGTAGAAATCGACTAAAACAAAGAGAAAAGAAAGAAACAAAGAAATCAAATAAAAGAAAAAAAATTATGAAAAAGAAACGAAAAAGAAATAAATTGAATAGTTGATAAAATTAATTGTTACAAAATTAACATTCACGGAAGAAGTTAACGCGAAAAAATAATTATTAAGAAAAAATAATTTAAATTAAAAAAATAAGAAAGAAAATATAAAAATACATATGAAAGAACGAAAAAAGCAGAAGTAGGGGATGAGTACGAAAAAGAAGGAGAGAGTTTAAAATATTTTTAAACAGGGGAACGTTCAGAATAATGTATAGAAATGAATGTTGAAACTTACCCAGAAACAAAAGCAAAAAGATATTTATTTATTTATTTCCTAATGCCTTAATATTGAGTTAGCCAGAAAGCCCTGACTCGGGAAGCGGAAAGAAAACAAATTTTCATCTCTGTTGGAATTTTCAAGGAATATAGCATTTCGAATTTGTTCCACACGGTCGCACCATCAACAATAAACTGGATAGCGAGCAGCTAGACCGCGTGTACGACAAACTAATCTTTGGTCAATCGAGGTCGGGCTTTGTTTCAGCAAGACAATGCGAGACCATACACTGCCAGGTTGACTAAGAACTTCAAAGAGATGGACGGTGTTGGGATTCTTCCACATCCACCATTCAGTCCGGATACGACTATGGCCTGTTTTGTTCAGTAGCACACTTCCTCCGCGACCAGCGATTCAACACTTTTGATGAAATGAAGGAAGCTTATTTACAGTTTTTTTTATTTATTTATTATTATTCAAAGCCAGCGAAGTGATATCTGGGACAGATTCGGATGCTTGCTGATCGCGGGCAGAAGATCGTCAAGAATGATGGAATGATGGAATATTAATTTTGAAGAATAAATGTTGATGTTCCTCCATTTTGTTGTTTTCTTTCCGCGTCCTAAGTGAGTCAGGACTTTCTGGCCAACCCCTAATATATTTATTGCTTACTGTATTAATTTATTATCATCCCGAAATTCAACAGTGTTGAGAAAGAAGTAAAAAAAACTGGTTTGTCTTATTTGTTAAAAATCGACGTAATAGAACAAAAATTGCAGAGAACTGAACTTATTAAATGAGGAATCCATAGGAAAATAACACACAGAAAAGATACAAAAAGGACACAAAAAGGACACATTGTGTCAGCATATCACTGTTGTCATCTTTCTTTCACGCTTGAGACATCTGGTGAACATTATCAGAAATCAAGTTACAGCAAGTCTCATCAAACTTCCAGCTTTCTCTTCACCATTCGTGCTGGTTGTGATAAAATAACCGGGAGTAATCTCCCTTGCTTTATGATTACCTCCCTTTGGAAAACTCTTTCGTTTGTAGAGGACAATAAATAGTCACTACGCTGGTATCAATTATTCTAAAAAGAAAATAGCTTCTTTAAGACTTGTTCTTTTTTGTTATTACACTTGTCTTACTTGTATTGGATCGTTTCACTTCTCTTTGGAATCGTCAATTTCTGCAGTAATCTTTTAGGGCCTCTCCAGTATTCCAGACACGACCATGTCCCAGTGTCAGAATACTTATCGGAGTTCGATCAAGGTCTCTGTTTAATTTTTAATTGCATTTTTACAGTTTTTCAATGAGCTGTACGTCGTACCTATCAGTGGCGAACTGGATCTAAAAATAATGGTTGCCAGGAGACAAAAGGAGATACCTCACAACTACAATGGTATCATTTAATTTTTATAACGAATAAATCACTATTTCAAAAATGCGCCTGAAGGAAGGCTTGGGCATCTTGACGTTGTGTAATGGTAAACAAGCTTATCTCGCTAGATCAATTACGACTGAATAATGGGTACTCCATACTTTCAGCTTTGTGTCACATATAAGCTACACTTAGTCAATTGACCTATGGAAAAAGGGTACAGTTAATATTTTGTGGAAAAATGTGTAATTACAATATACATGTACTGTACATATTACTGACAGTAAATGCCAAATGTAAAAACAAAATATTATAATTGAATATTTTTTTTTAATTTTAAGTAATTTGTTGATATTTTTAAAGTCTATTGCACAATTTTCACATTAACAGATAATTCAAAATCACAACAGAGCATTGCATGTAGTCCACTAAATTATGTTCAGTAGATGATTATTCGAATCTGCCAATAATTGTTTATTGGTTGATATTTTTAAATAGTCTATTGCACAATTTTCACATTAACAGATAATTCAAAAGCACAACAGAGCATTGCATGTAGTCCACTAAATTATGTTCAGTAGATGATTATTTGAATCTGCCAATAATGGTTTATGCATCCAGTTCATCTAAAAATTCATTTTCAATGGATCGTAACACGATCCCAGATTCTCCTCAGACAGCAAATTTCTTAATCTTATGATCTTTAGCTTTGAAAATATTCTCTCATATTGGACTTGAGTAACTGATAATGTGCAGATGACTTTATAAATGTCTTTATTCCTTTTTATTACTAAAACGGTTGTCTGTTTTTGTTTGTTCATTGCATTTTTATTTGATATAGAGGCTCACTCCATCAAGGGGGGGGCGGGGCACTGGCCATCGGGTAAGCTGACACCCTGGTTAGTCTGTATACTGATCACTGTATGTGCACTTGTTTTATAGAAAATTACGCTATGAATTGATGCTAAAAATGTTAGAATTATTATTTTAAGTAATTGGTTGCTATTTTTAAATAGTTTACTGCACAATTTAAACATTAACAGAAAGTTTAAAAGCACAATATGAAGTCAACTATAAAAGCAATCGTGTTCACTAGATGATTGTCCGTATCTGCCAATAATTGCTTATACATCCAAATGAGCTGACAATTCCTTTTCAGTGGATAACAACATGTACGATTCCGTGTATGATTCAGACAGCAAGTTTCTTAAACTTGTCTTTATCAACTTTAGCTTTGAAATTGTCATTTCACATTGGACTTGAGCAACTGATAGTGTGCAGATGACTTTATAAAGTTCTTTTTTATTGCTAAAACGATTGTCTGTGTTTGTTTCTTTATTGCATTTTTGTTTGATATAGTGGGCCCATGATAGATAGATAGATAGATAGATGTAAACACACTGAACTAGCTAGCTAGCTAGATGGTATTTATCAATTCACCCACAGGAATTGAATGTGGCACAAGGCCTTTTTAATGTGGGTATGTCTGAGCCCGTAGGCCCAGCCAAAAATAAAACCCATCTAAACCCGTCCAAGCGGGCTAGTTCCGTCAACCTCCCCGAACGAAACCCCACCCTTCGGCGGAGCCTCGTCCGGGTTCCTCTCTGCAAGCAGAGAGTTCGACAGACACCCGGCTCGGCAGCTCACAAAGCACAGATACTACACTTTGATCCTAGCCACCGGGCCGAGCGGGTATTCTTTTTCTAGCTAGATGGGTAGATCACCTCATCAGTTGTTTATTTATAATTTTAAACCTTAGATATTTATATAACTACATCAGTCTATATAAATTAGCTTCTTTACGGCTAACGAGGTAAATAAAAACTAGTCGGTATTTTTCTCTTGCCTTGATGTCCGAGACGTCATTCCGGTCGATGTCTAGAAACATTACACTAATCCTTTCCAGTGTCTTCTTATCATATACGGGTCACAGGGCAACAACCAATCATCACCTCAACCACCCAGAGTGAATGAGAGAGAGAGAGAGAGAGAGAGAGGGTCAAATAACACAACACTTCGCAATCATTTACCCTTTGGAACATTATATTCACGTATTCCCCCCCCCCTCACCTTTGTCACCTTCGCCTGAGGTGTTTGACACCGACCAAAGGCTCCATCAAAATTTAACAAACAGCAGGAAATGGTCAGATGTGGTCAGGGGCCTGAGCGTTTCCAGTTAAAACTAATAGCTTTTTTTCCATTTGCTTTTGACTGGCGCTGGGGCAAAATAAAAGTCTGGCTCCCGATAGAAATCCTTCACTATTCCTACTACGAACGGCCTGCGAAATACCGTATTTCCTTGCGTATAAGTCCTTTCCTTATTTATTACATTATTAAGGATATTTAGTTAAGTAGTAGCTGAACAGCGGCTCGGATTGAGAAATCAGAGAGCCGAGTTCAAATTCCGGTTGAATCCATTACATTCACTTACGTGCTAATATACCTTTGGGAAAGGTATGAATCCTCTTCTTTTCCCGGCTATGGGTAATTAGCAGGATAGACCGGGATCTATAGCCTTGGATGACAACTGGTCTACCGCAGAAAGAAATGGCAACCTACCGCGGGAAAAAAAATCTGCCTCGTTAGTTATGTATCGAAAGATACATAATCGCCTAAG